TACTATAAGAAAAAACTTCTTTTTAGTTCTTATATTGGTTAAATACCTTTTTTGGTCCCTCTACTATAGGAAAAAGCTCCTTTTTAGTCCCTATACCGAAAAAATCCCTTTTTTGGTCCCTAAATTTTAAAATCCGGCCCCTTTTTAGTCCCTCTGTTAAAATTTTGCTGATTTGTCACGTTAATTAACGAAAACATCTGACATGGCTATTTTAGAGTGTGATATGGCAATTTCAGAGTGTGACATGGCTATTCCACAGTGTAAAAATGCTTACGAGTGAAAAAAAAACCCTAAAATGAGACCCATATTCTAAAGTTTTCCATTTTTTTCAATTCCCTTTCTGAATATCATCTTCCTTTTTTTGAAATTCTTGTTTTTCATTCATAATCAACTCTTTACATGTGAGATTGATCAATATAATTGATAATTTCAAAATTTCAACCCTTTCTTCTAGTTAAATCTAGGGCATAAATGAAACAAATTATGAAGTTAATAGCAACATAAACACAACATGAACTTATCACCTGCAGTTTCAAACTCAAACAGCAAACATGATTTCAGTTTTGCAATGAACCTGAACTTAACATCTCTAATTCAAAACTGAATATGAAAATTTATTTTCATTCTGGATAGATACACTTAAAATAAAAAAGAAAAAAACAATCAGAACCCAGCACTAGGCTTGCGCGAAACCCAGATCTGGGTTCCCCTGTGGAACCCAGTGTTGGGTTTTCCCGCGGACCCAATGCTGGGTTTCGAGAAGAACCCAGATGGATTCCATGAGGAACCCAGACCTGGGTTTGTGCGAAACCCAGCTTTGGGTTCCTCGCTAACCCAGTGCTGGGTTTCATGAGGAACCCAGATCTGGGTTCCTTGTGAACCCAACACTGGGCTCGCGCGAAACCCAGATCTGGATTCCCCCGTGGAACCCAGTGCTGGGTTCTCCTGCAAACCCAATGCTGGGTTTCGAGAGGAACCCAGACCTGGGTTCCTCTCGAAACCCAGCTCTGGGTTCCTCGCTAACCTAGTGCTGGGTTTCATGAGGAACCCAAGATGATGAAGATGATTCTGAAGAAAAAGAGGAGGGTAAGGATGAGGAGAAAGAAGAAGAGGAAGAAGAAGATGAAAAAATTAAAACTAATTATGTTTAATTCATAAATTAATAAAGTAAAATTTTTAATTTGTATAAGTGACACAAAATATTCAAATAAAGTGTTTACATGTATTTATAATTTTGTCCACGTCATTTATAATTGTACATGTAATTTCCATGTCATTTAAAATATTGTTTATATAAAAAATAATGAAATAATTCCGTTAATTAATGTGACAAGTCAGCAAAATTTTAACGGAGGGACTAAAAAGGGGCCGGATTTT